TAATGGAAGGTTAATAGTTTTAGATGCCTGGCATGGCCTGGTAGTTAGGGCGATCTGTACCTTGACCATTCCTGACATGGCCTGGTGGTTAGAGCGATCTGTACCTTGACCATTCCTGACATGGCCTGGTTGTTAGGGCGCTCAATCTGCGAGTCCCGGAGTCACATCCTCGTAACCGCACATGCTCGACCTGCCAGCCGTGAGGGCGTTATAATATGATGGTCCATCCCACTATTCGTTGGTAAAATAGTAGCCTAAGAATTGGCGGAGGATGGTGTTGACTAGCTGTCTTCCCTCTAGTCTATCACTGCCATATCAGAGCGGCTAGCATTCGTGTAATTTTGTACTAGATACAAAATAAAACAAAACTTTAGGCATTGTTTTAATATAAAGAAGAATAATTTGAATAATTTATGTAGTTAAACTTTTTTTAGAAAATTTAACAATGAAGCTGAAAGTAAATAACTGATTCTTAGATAAGAATATTGTTTGTTTGTTTGTTTTTTAATTTCGCGCAAAGCTACACGAGGGCTATCTGCGCTAGCCGTCCCTAATTTAGCAGTGTAAGACTAGAGGGAAGGCAGCTAGTCATCACCTCTCACCGCCAACTCTTGGGCTACTCTTTTACCAACGAATAGTGGGATTGACCGTCACATTATAACGCACCCACGGCTGAAAGGGCGAGCATGTTTGGTGGGACGGGGATTCGAACCCGCGACCCGCGGATTGCGAGTCGAGCGCCCTAACCACCTGGCCATGCTGAGCCTAATAAGAATATTGTCACTTAGGCTTTTTGTGCTCTAAAAACAACGAAGTGGAACATGAAAAACTCGAAACTTTACAACAAAACAGAAAACTGTATTAAAATGCTTTCCATCATTTGAATGCGAGACAAAAATTAATCCAACCTGAAAAAAAAAATAAGATTAACGTGTGGATACGTGGTGTCGTCTTCTACTGTTTTCTTTAGGTATTGAGTAAAGGCTGTTTACAAAATAAACAATAGTCTGGAGCCTTTTTTTTTCCTCGGCTGATTACAGATAAGACTTTAACATGTAAGTCGTGCATCACACACACACACACGAGCCACGTGCGTTAATCCTAGCGACCAAGTTCTTTTTTCCCATTACTCTTCGTATGATAACGTGGATTTCAAATAACAGTTCCTATTGTTTCGTCAGTTCCGCCGGAAATCGTTGGCCATGAGAGCAGTACCGATGTGCTTGTTAGGGAAGGAGTCAACGTAACCCTGATGTGTCGGGCTAAGGGTTATCCCACACCGGAGATATCGTGGAGACGAGAAGACGAGCAACCAGTATCGGTAGGAAACTGGAAAAACAGCATCCTTCGTGGTGAGAATGTAAAAATAAAAGGCATCAGCTTAGCAACCCTAAATTAGAATTTAAAATGTTATATATTTTTGTATCTTGAATGTTTTCCTTTGAAATATTAAATGGAGATTAACACTGCCATTTGCAGTAATTAAATATGCTCCACAGTTACTGGTGTTTATAGCCCTTCAAGACTCGGGTCAGTATCGTGGAAACAGCGTCGTGCTTACGTGCATTCTGCGTTGTTAATGATTCCCGAGACTTATAAAACTGTATATAAAAACCTAAACCTTTCATTCGTGTTATTACTCTTGTATAATCAATTATTAACACGCAGGAACTTCCAAACCACCCCTCGTTGAATAAAATGTTGTGTTCCATTGTGTTATTGCTCTTGTATAATCAATTATTAACACGCAGGAACTCCAAAACCACCCCTCGTTGAATAAAATGTTGTGTCCCAATGTGTTATTACTCTTGTATAATCAATTATTAACACGCAGGAACTTCCAAACCACCCCTCGTTGAATAAAATGTTGTGTCCCAATGTGTTATTGCTCTTGTATAATCAATTATTAACACGCAGGAACTTCCAAACCACCCCTCGTTGAATAAGATGTTGTGTCCCAATGTGTTATTACTCTTGTATAATCAATTATTAACACGCAGGAACTTCCAAACCACCCCTCGTTGAATAAGATGTTGTGTCCCAAT